GCATACTTCCTTGAAAGATCCAGGCATACCATCCCTCCTACGCTCCCTAAACGATGAAAGAACAACACGCAGCTATGGGGCGCTTACATTCTGGTCGAGGGCAAGGCAGGCATCCAAACGCCTAAAAATAGACTGGAAATTTACAGAAATAGGGAACACCAACACTCCTCACATCACACTACCTCCCACCTTCCCCCTACCTGTGTACGAAAGCACAAAAACCCCGCTAGGCCCAGCACAGCGGAGCCGCGAGGAACGACCCCTACCATGCACTCTCCTATCGGGGCCGTCGACCCGGAGCTGATACCAACCGTAGGAGCGAGTGCGGGCGTGGCCGCCAGTGTGGCGTCCCACCCCCGAACGTTCTCGACCCGACCTGGCTGCAGCAGCACCGCCGGGGATGGTGGTGTCCTCAGAGACCCCGCCACTACCTGCGGTGATGCAGTCACCTGCCGGCTGGAGACGAACACGGGGAAGGGGAATGGATATGAGTATAGAGTGACATTGAGCGCCAAGGACCAGTCATCGCTGGTGAGACGCCTACGTGACGCTTTACATAGGACACACTTCCAGCGCTGGAACACCCTGCCCTAGGCATAAATGCAAGCGTTCTCAAAGAGTTCGAGAAGGAATCTACATACTTCATAGTCTGGCCGGAACATTAAAATTCCCACCTACAGGTTTCCGACCAGGATCAACTCCTCCCCAACCCTCAACTGCTGCCCAGGTAACGTGACCAACAGTTGTAGAATGAAATGTACGTGGAACAACGGACAAGAAGCATCCGAGAGCATTGGTCACGTTACCACGGAGTGCCGCTACCTGTCACCACTGTGGAACGCGCGACATAACATCGGGGCTATTTACAAAGAAGCAGCCATTGCAGCGGGGTGTCAGGTGCTCTCGGAGTATCAGACAGTGGTAGGCAACAATCGCTCTGATCTCTTAGTCGCGTGGGGCAGAATGGCACTCGTGGTGGACTTTGCGGTGGCTAACGCACGAAACAGCAAACTTAAAAAGAAGTTAGAAGAAAAGCGCCAAAAATACGAAGCCACCCGCGCCCACTTCATTACCGTCGGTTACCACAGCGCCGAAGTACTCCCACTACTGGTGGGGGGTACTGGGAGAATGGTGTGCGGGTAGTAACGCCACACTAAAGAAAGTTGCAGACAGCCACAAGATAAACGCCTTAAAAGAAAGAATAATCAATGAGGCCATTGATAGCAGTGCTGCGTGCTACTACACGCATACCGGCAATATACACCTGGCCTCACTTGAGTACAAACAGATAGCGCGAAACAGAGTCCGCAGGGGCGCCCCCCTCCATCCTGTGCAACAGGAAGCTAGCTGCGGAACAACAGATAAGACCTTCATCAACACCAGGCGACGCGCTGGAGCTCCTGCCTAGAAAATGTGTTCCTCCAGTGTCAGTGAAGTGGAAGCAAGAAGTTAGTGGCAGCCTAAGTGATAGTGAGGTGAAAAAGTATATGAACTTTTGCAAGAGGATCAATGCCGAACACAAGCCACTAAAAACTAGATTCAGATCGGAAGAGCCATTCGAATAGATTTATGTACTATAAAAAGCATTCAATAGCATATATTGTAAATAATAACCAAGAATGCACATATTGGAAATAGTAGTATTAGTATAGATAATAGTCATATAGATGTAGTACAGTAGGACAGAATTTACACTAAGCCAAACGGCAACTGAAATGTAGGTATTGTAACGAATATTGCATCACCTGCCGGAATTCGCTGCGCGGGTTGCGTCATCTGCCAGCGCCCCCATAGCAGTAAGTCCGTCAGTGTGAGTGTGCAGTAGTCTGTCTGAAGTAGAAGCTGAGCTGTGAAGTGTGCATCGCGGTAAACAGCATTGCAGTGGACCCTGGTCTGCGCAGTGGACATGGAACGGTGCATCGGACTGTGCGATAGTGTAGAAGACGTGAACAGTGTAAATAAATAATCATAAGAAGTGAACTGTGTAATTAAATAATCAAGAGAATGGAGTCGTGTGTAAGGAAAATAATCAAGTGAAGAACACAAAGACTGTAATACATCTGTTAATAAATCAAGTATTTTCATGTAGCATTGTTTACGAATAAACATCTTTGTTAAAATATTACCTGAGTATTCTAATTCACCACGGAGAAACGTTGCAGTATGTGTCAGACGCAGCGCCTGACAAGGTCGAGGAGAATCCGAATATACAGGTAAGAAACATTAAATTTACTGTTATTATAATAAACGTAGAAGAAAATTAATGTATTGGTACGATTAAACCAATCACTATTCCTATTAGTCTTTTGACAACAAAAATAATTATTGTATCACAATTGTTCATATACTGTCGGTTATAATTATATTTGTGAGATCTATTGGAACAATAAATTTGTTAAAGAAAATGTAAAAGTAAACGAAAACTAAGAAGAACGATTAAGAAAAACTTGTTTACAAAGAACATGTATCGTCAAGTTAAAAATTAATTGAGTATCATTTGCACAAAGGAGCTTTCTTGTTCTACTTTTATTTTCAAGTGATTCATAATATTATTATTTTTGCGATTTTCTAAACGTACTTGTGACATCCGCACGGCGGTGCCAAGTTCCGTCTTTACGTGCGTCCCGAGCCACACGAGCAGCGCGACGCTGCATGCTCGTAGCCTAAGCAAACGCCTCCACGAGCGACTGCAGTACGCCGCCTACTGCCCTGAAGGGCTAGTCGGCCGACCAGGGCCAGCCACACAACAACTAGGAAAAGGCAGCAGCGTCCGCCCCTTCGCCGCGGCGCTTTGTAAGCGGGGCGCAGCGTCACTGCTGCTAGTCAAACACAAGGGCTGGAGTTCCTGCATCACCTGCCCTCGTGGCCGTAAAGTGTAAGCAATCGCTGATGCAAACGACTACGAGACATACTCTCCTATTGCACCCACCTATTATCCTTATAGAACGAACGGCAAGCCTTATATTTTAGATATCGCGCTTTGCCAAAAACTGTATTACCTTCCCATACTCACAACCACCTAAGAGCTTTCCTCTGACCACTTTCCAGTAATAGCGGATATGAGTCGCGGAGTCCTGACGCCTGCACTGCACTCACGACGCAGAAGAGGCGTGCGGACTGAAAGAAATTCCATACGGACCTGCAGCAGTGCATTCCAGATGCATCTGATTTGCCAGGACCGCAGCAGATAGAAGTTGGAGCTCAAAAGCTGTGACTGACAGCCTCAACGCAGCAGCTAAAAAGTATATCTAAAAAGGAAAAGCCATTAACCCCATTTCTAATCAATTTGATTTCCAGGAAAACGCGCGGAGCACGAAACACTCAGCTGGTAAGCGGCATATAAATCAATTAAAACGTGAAGTGGAAATCGAACTAGCTTAATACCGTAATCAGAAATGGGCTAAATTGCTGTCATGTCTGAAACCTCAAGATAATTCAAATAGGAGGGTTACGCTCTTTCTGGAACAATGTTGACGTCACGACACGTCACCGTGACTTAACGTCCACGTCGCTGTGACGTCACCGATGACGCCATGGAAGACGTCAGGTACGGTTGACGTCACAACACGACACCGTGACTTCACGGTCAGGACGTCACGACCCGTCACGGTCACGTCATGGCGTGACGTCACAATTGTTCCAGAAATCACGCCAACAGTTGTGTGGGGGCATGTCACGAGGACGTCAGCGGACAGGAGCGCACGTGGGCGTGAGTGAGAAGAGGAGGAGGTGGTGGTGTTCAAAAAGCCTGCTTGGCCGGGGCGCGAACCAGTGAGGACCTGTTTTGGAGCCTGGCACGATCACACAGTAGTCTGTCTGAAGCTTAAAAATTCAAAAAATACTTTTCTCACGTGTCAGTTTTCTTCCAAAATACACGACGAGTGTTTGTGGAATTTTCATCATAATTGCTGTCATTTTCAGAACTGCTGCTCTGGTTTTCATCATTATCTTCATCACCACTACTAATATCTAACTCCGACGTGTTGCCAGACAGTAGTAAATCTAATATTTCATCAGTGTTGAGCTGCGATTTTCGTCCTTAAACGAATAATGTACAATATTAATCAAGATATTTCAATTTTAAGGTAGTCTGCTGTTTATAATTATATTTTCACCGCAAAAACTTAGCATGTGTTACTGGAAGTATAGGTTATGTACGTGAGTTCAAGCACATGTCACCAAGTCCTGTTGTTCATTCAAATGGACACTAACATTTTAAAGCTTTTATGTCACGTATACATCCAGAAACACAACATTCTTCATGATAACTTAAATCACAAAACCATATACTTAAACTATTCGACAAGTTAATGACATATCTACATCCTAAGACTTAAAAATAAATAAAACAAAAGGACAACCTGCCATGACAACGCAAAGGAAACAACTGGAAACAACGGTAAATAACCGCTCAAAAGCGCACGAAGTACTAAGGTCCGCCAACAGAGTGCAGCGCCAATCTCTTCCCTGCAATGGACACCGGGTCTTCGAGCGAAAAAAATAATTCATAAAATTTTACGGGGTACAAACTGATGTCCAATATTATTGACATTCGATCTCAGGAGGAAATTATGGTATTATTTGGTTCTATTACAAGTGCTGGGTTGTATTTGTAATACGGAGGAGCTACTATTTAACATTCCTTTTTTTAATTATTATTATTATTATTATTATTATTATTATTATTATTATTATTATTATTATTATTATTGTTAATATTGATTAAGTTACTACTTATGCATATTTTTATTAACTTTATTACAATTTTCCATTTTGTTTAATTTTCAAGTTCCATAATAATATTTTCATTGTTATAAACAATGAAGAGCTTGGCGGTGATGTTTCACGATTTTTTTTTTTTATTGGCTGATGTCTCTCTCGTGTGGCGCTAGCAAACGTTGCTTTCATTGCTTTGCGTGAACGCCACGGTGAGAACCAAATTTCGCGCCGTCACGCTTGTTATATATGGTACATCGGCTTGCTGTTAGCGCTGCCTTCAGAGCCAACTATTCTGCGCTTCTCGTGCAATGTGCAATCCTCTTGTTCCACGCACGTGTACGTCGTGCGCTGGTGGTGGCGCGTGGTCGTGTTGCAGGACAGGTGGTGTGGTGGACCACCACCGGTGGTCGCTAGTACTGAATAAGCGAGTGGTGCCTCCTTGGATGGGTGGTTTAATTGTGGGTGGGTGATCAGCGTGTGCTGGTGTAAATGAGGTGTTTGATGACGAAAACAGCAAAACAATTTCGGCTTGTTGACACTGGCAAGAAATCCTATTCCTGGTTATGTCGGTATACTTAATTAAACGTTGCACTATCCCCAAATTAAAAGATGCCTTGATTTGAAATGTTGTTTTGAGCATCTCTCCCCTTTCACCATACGACAAATCTTTTCGTGAAATCGTCACCGTTTTCCCTTCATGCTCAAGTTGTTGAGTCCTAATAAAGTTCAGATGGATTTGTATGGACTCTTTCAAGTATCAGAAAACTTGGTTGTTCTGGAGGCCACTGTTGCTTCTGGTTTGGAACCATTGGCTGTTTCTGAAATTAAAGAAAAGGTTCCTTTTATATCCCAGTTATGTAGAGCAAGAGGAAGAGTTTTTTTCAGTACCTATGTTGAACACGTTCAACAGGTATAATTGTGTTTGTTATATCATCACATTAACTCTTGTGCTGTGCTTTATGACTTGTTTAACAAACTTTTAAAATTACATGATACAGTATTTACAGTCTTGGTGAATAAGTATTTGAAATAACCATTAATTTTTTTTAAAATGTGAATCAAATTATTATTTCTTTTACCGTTAGTTTGAACTAACCTTCTTTATTTCAAAGAACACTATTTTTTGTTTTTCAGATCCTATTGCTTCGCTCTATTGATCATTTATATCTTATTGTATCAACTGGTAAAGATATTAATTTGCAAGAAAAGGTATGATTTTTCTAAATAAATTTTGTTGCCATGCTGATATTTCCCTCTAAGTCTATAGTATAAATAGATCGAATTTGTTGCTAATCCAATAATAAGTGTTAAGTGATTTTAAAGAATTTTGTAAGTACATTTTATTTACTAGTGTATTCAACATTTGTAAATTACCTATCTTTCATTATCTAATTTTTTTTCTTTCTCTTGAATGTCAAAAATTGAAGTAATCAGATGTTATATGTGAAAGTTGCTACAACTTTAAGCAAATAATAATTTTTAAGTAATTGTGTTTCTGTCAAAATTTGGAAATGTCAGGAAAAGTCACAGAAATATAATAGCCTGAATTAGACTAATGCTCAAAAACTTAATTAATGAAAAATAAATTTAAAATTAATTGCTACAATAATAATGTTACTAGTATTCTAAATTTTCTTCATTAGTTACAAAATTTCAACAACACCATTCTTTCAAGTTTACATGCATGAATTGTTATTAAATATAATTGATTATAATATAATGTTTTATTTGCTTTGAATATGTTGCAGAGAAAGATATAAATTAAATTTAGGTTCTCAATATCTTTTCGATAAATTATGTGAAATTAATTTTATTATATTCAGCTTAGTACATTATTTTTCACACATTTCACTTTCAACATGCACTATTAATTGGTCACAAAGTATAATACCTATTTCAGATTGTCTATCCCAACCCATTATAATTGATGTAAACATTGTAAAATGTCCAAGAAAATAAAGGATTAATACTTTATAATTAAAATACAAAACTAAATAAAATGCCCTTTTTGTGTTGGCTTCTAAAAACATAGGTATTCATCCTCTGTATGTAATACGTTGAAAATATATGTTGTTTTTTTTTTAATTCATAAGAAACCATTAAAACCAAATTCTGTAAAGATGTTTGTGCTGCTTAGGGAATTACTCCCAACCCTTCTTCAAACAAATTTAAAACAAAATTAGTTGAAATTTCCTGAGGGAACCAATTATTACTACACACATTACAGTCGTGCATAACTCAAAAACACCTTGTGTTGGCCCTTAAAACCACGTTTCATGTTCCAGAGGTACATGAGATTTTGAGGACAGACGAGCTTTGAAGGGACTGGCAAGGGCAAGTGGGGTTTTGTGCTATGTTTCTTAAGTAGTACACTACAATATCAGTCCTTTGTGACCCTTTTGTTGCATTTTTTGGACTTACTACATTTTTAGAGATTCAGCACTTCTGGTAATCCCTAATCTTCAGCATGGGTGGTTCTGAGCAGTAACTGAATATCTATGTAAAGTGAAATTGGAGGTAAAGGGACAAAAATAATATCCCTCAACAAAATTAAATTTACTATGTAATTTTCTGTGAAATTTTAGCTCCAGGTGTAGCAATATTAGTATGTTTACTCAGTCGCATTCTGGATGAATAATGTTGTTATACACAGACCAGGGACTGGCTATTCAAAAAATTATTTAAGAAGTGCGTAAGGTTCTTATGGGTACAGCTAGTAAATATATAACATGACACATTTTAAGAAATATGGAAGCTTGGAACAAACAAAAATTTTCTCTTACAATACAATCAAATATTTTGTTATACTAATTGTAAATATGTTTTTCTGTTAAGGATTCAGCATTATCATCTGTGGAAAAATTGATTGAATTTCCAAACTGGAATAAAGTAATAGATATCTGGAGGAGTGTGTCTAAATTTAAAGGAAAATGTTTTCCATCAAAAGAAGAATATCTTGAAGCATCTCTGAAAGAAACAAGTTTGAAACAGATAGTGCAAGACTTGTGGAAAGAGAGGGAGGTGATTGAAGTTACTGAGAAACAACAACATGTAGATAAAGAAAGTACAGTTTGTGGTGGACATAAATACAAAGACAAAAGAAATGAGTTGAAACAAAGTATTATGCGCAAAATAGATCGTAAATCTATGTACCGAAATTCGGATCAAAGACTTGAGGAAGATAAAGTTCTTAAATTCAGAATGACTTGCTACAGGTCTGGGAATCATTGTGTTACATCTCAAGAAGTTGCATGTTCTTTGGGTGGAAAATTACAAGAAAAATTTAATTGGATTGTGGATCTAGTTAATCATGATTTGGAAGCGGTCACAAATATTAGAGAAGGTAATATTTATTTTTTAATAAAATCCAAACAGTATTAAGAATTGTGGAGTGTGTTAGCTTTGTTAATTGTATGCTAGTACAACTACTACTGCTTAGTAGGGACACAATAGCTCAAATTTACCATGTTTTTTCTTGTAAACTATTAGTATATTCTTAGTTAAATTAAGGTAAGTTAAATCTGCATTCATTGTTTTCATGCCTGCCAATCCTACTTCAGAATCTTGGTACCTCAAGATATATTGTAAAGCTACAGATATGCAAGAACATTTTAATCTGTGGGGGGGGAGGGGGTACATGTTATCGTGAAATGGGGTTACTTTAGCCCTGCCAACCACAGTCATGACTCAAACACATCTTGAATCACTGTATTCCCAGTTTTTTATTTGTGTGTCAAAGAAGACTAAATGATAGACAAAAATACTGTGTTTATCCGTTTTTGTGAGAATATTGTGATAGTAAATAAATGAGAACAATTATGTGAAAATATCATTAGAGTCATGTCTGTCTAACAAATAAAATAATTACAATATCAACTGGGGGAACAGAAAACAAACCTTCTTTACCAACAGGGTAACCTAATTCTGCCGTTTCTGTCATGTGTGCAACAATAAATTTCTTTTCTGGAGTAAACACTAAATGCCTAGAACACAAGTAATATTTCCCTTTTAGTGTGTTTAATTGTACTTATGGGAATACAAAAAACACTGATTTCTCTGTGTGTTCTGTCAGGTTCAATCTCTAAAGTCATGTGTACATTGTTTAAGATGTGTTTTGTGTAATCGACAGGCCCCTAATGCTTTAAGATTTGTTCTAGGTAGTGGTATTGAACAGTTGTGTAAATTCACATAAGTCATAATCTACATCATGTACTGATATTTTAATTTATAAAAATAATTTCAGAGTACTTTTATCTAGGGCTAAAGAAATCCACCAAAAAAAAGGACATTTTTTAATGATGAAATTATGTTAAAATTATAGCGGTTTCACGTAAAACACTTTTGTGGAAGATATTCACACATACAATGTACTTCAGCATGCACTTAATACTGTCTTGTATGGTTAAGTGAATGAAATATTTGAATGGTGATGGTGATTAGAGCCCAGAAGTTTGGCAAACTGCCGTATTATTATTAGAGAGTTTGATGTCATCCATATGCGCTAAATGGGCTATCTGCAATCTTTCAGTTCCTCTCAGTTCGAAACCTAATTTCAGGTCTTCTAGGAGTGTCGATAACAGGTTCATTGCCAAGCACAACCAGGGGCTCAGGCTATCACCTTGAAAGATTCCGCGCTTTATATTTATTTCCTTGGTAACCATTGTTTCATTTTTTGAAGTGACACAAATAGTTGTCTTCTATTTGCCCATGATGGATTTCAGAAAATTCACGATTGTCGAGTTCACACAATATAGTGACAGCACATAGAGGAGCCAATCATGCAGAACCACGTCATAGGCCTTTCTATAATCAATGAAACACGTGAACAAGTTTCTGTTTTGGAGTATCTATAAATTCAAGCAGATGACTATTATCAGGATTATGGTGTGTGTGTTTGCGATGTTTCTTCTTAATGACTTTAACTCTGTTTTTCAGATATTTACTTCTGTCTCTTCTTTGGAAGGCTTTGAGTGTAATGATGTCTGATCGGATCTTCTATTCTCTTCTGTAGTCTTATTTTCCATGGAGGGTCTTTCTGTTGTAGCTGGGAGTTCCGTTATGGGTGAATTTCAATAATTTTACCACCATTTGCTCTCACAATTGCCACTACCATACAATATATTGCAGAATCAAGGCTGTTATAGATCGTAATGTGAGAGGTCTCATTTACCAAAATTTGTTTGTTTGCTATCTTAACTAGCATTGCCAATTTCTTTGAGTTGTGCTGTTTCGGGACTCTTGGTCTAACATTAAGATTTATTCCTCCATATTGAATATTTGCCAGCTGATATAGTGATTCGAGATTTTCATATAGTTGATCTCTGAAAGTAGGATATTCACCTGAAGGCGCTTCGTGCAGAGGGATGCCTCATGCTGGGGTTTGAATTTGTGTGACGGGTATTTCTGAGGCTTCTGTGATCCCTTGTCGCTCTAACTGTGCTTACACCTCATCTTTAATCTAATTTTTCTAGTACATGACTCATATTTATCAGATTTATGCATTAATGCTCTTCGGTTCGCGATATTTAGCTCAGTGAGGTGAGATAAAAGTGGGTACTGTTGGGTAAAACATCTATGTAATTCCTGCCGATATCATATATGAATTGAATCGCAACGGGTAACGCAATAATATAATCTGATGATGTCTTCATTCATTTCGTTCGTCCACTGAACTCTGTCGTGGCAGGCCTGCCACAGTGGTTGCAAGTGATGTCTGGGAAACACAATGCTCAGGTGCAGCTGATAGATCTTGAGTGCTGCTTTCTTCGGCTGTAGTAATTTCGGGTATCCCGGTGTGTATCCGCCTGTTCAACAACACACTAGCGGTTCGCATGCTGTCACAGACAGCGCTAGCTCCATCTGTGCCCTGGCGCTCCCCAGGCAGCGACTCTGGTCAGAGGCAAATTTCCAGTGGTCTCTCCATTCCTAAATGGGTGTGGTCTGATAGGGCTGCTAGCTCATGGCCTTTCCACCTGCCATCTTGTGTATTAACCCCACATGAAGGGTTGTTCCTTCCGCCCAGTTTTGGCCGTTAGAGACTTCGCCCATGTTACCCTGGGCACGGGCTCTCTTTATCAATCCCTGGAGAGACGGGTTCCTTCGAGGCCATCTTCGTGTCTTCAGCAATCTGCCTCCTCTGTAGGTCCTGCTTCGTCTGACCCCTCCCCCTCTACCTCTCCGACAGGGGAAACCCTACCAGTAGCTACACTACCGCCGGCGTAGCTCTCAGGTACCCCATTGGGGTACTCAAGCTCCACCACCACCGTCAAGGTCATGTACTCCCCAGGTGGATTATTATTATTATTATTATTATTATTATTATTATTATTATTATTATTATTATTGCCGGGGAGGGGAAATTCGTTTCGCATACCGGTAAGTCCGGTTATGTCGGACTCTCCAGCGTGGCATACCGTCTAAAACCTAACCTTGATTCACATGGGGCGTGGTATCTTCTGCGCGGGACCTCGTTGAGACATTACTTCACGCAGAAGATTGGCTGAGAGCATGAGCTTTCCTCTTTAGATGGACGCTATGGTATTTTATCTCTCTCTCTGCTTTTAGTAGTGGCTTTCTGTTTTAGTACGTGAGCCACGAAGTCTCGCACTGTTTTCAGTTGTCTCAGGATTGCAGCATAGTCTGGGCTGTGTTTGCCGGCGTTACTTCTCGTCGCAATTTGCTCTAGCAGTTTCTTCTTTCTTCTTCCCAAGCTTTACAACTATATGTGGTGTGCATAGCGTCGTCTTCATGGCATAGTGCGCATATCAGGCTTTCAGCGATTTTAAATCTGTATAGATATGCTTGAAAGTTCCCATGCCCTGAGAAGGCTTGCGGCAAGTAGAAGTCCATTGCGCCATGGTTCCTGCTGGTTCAATCCTTGATGTTAGGGACGAGGCTGTGTGTCCATCTACCTTTGTACTCCAGGTCCCATCGGTTTTGCCACTGGTGCAGGAGATGGTTTCTCAATTCCATTTTGATATTGTCTAATTGTCATTTGGACAGAGTTTGTTGTTTATCTGCTGTCGTCCTCAGGTACATTGTCCTTTCCTGGGCTAAAAGGTCCACTGGGGGACACTAGCCAGTACTAAGGCTGCACTGTCGGATATCGTGCAATATCCTGAGATTATCCTTAGTGCCATCATTCTCTGGATTTGTATGAATTTCCGTCGAATGGACTCTTTAGGTAGCGCATCTGCCCACACTGGGGCGCTATACTTCGAGACTTGACAGTCCACAACCCCCCAGGTGTCTTGAAAGATACAGCCTTTCGGTGGAAGTTCAAGGATGATGCATCCGATATTTTGTCAGGAGTTTTCTGACTTTTCTATCAAAAGCTTGTAAAGATGTCTCAGACCACTTAATAACTCCAAATGTATGTGCATGCTTTGGAGAGCCAAGTTTAATTCCAGTAAATTTGTTTCCTCGAATTAATACAGGATTTGCATATGGAAATGATCTTTCGGGATTCTTAAAATATATCCATAAAGGTGAGGCATTATAGATCTACTCAAAGGGTTCAAAGCTAGGCAGAACCAGCAGCGGCTTAGGCTATTCTTGAAATATTCTCTAAATTCGCAGTGATGCTGTCTGATAGCTCAATTTCCATCATAACACGCAGCCGTTGTCTTGCCAGCTTTCTATATGTTGTAAGGAAATTAATGATGGAAGGATGAACATTGTAGAGTTGAAGGTTCTCTGTAGCCAGGAGTGCTGGAATGGAATCAAATGCCTTTCGGAATCAATCCAGGCCACTGACAGTATGAGAGTTCTTTTTATGTGCGTTAGATACAATTATTATCTGATTATCAATAATTCTTTGCATCCTCGAGATCCTTTCCTAACCAACTTGTTCCAGGAAAAGCGTCATGTTCTTTTCAGATGATCGTGAGTTAGCGGCAATAATGGAGTGAGTATTTATAATAATGGGTAGACTGTAATAGGTCTATAATTCTGGGGCAAGACATCTTTCTCAACCTTCAGTAACATGAAGGTAAGCCAAGGTCAATTCTGGGCAAAGAGTTCCCTTGCACAACGTGGGCTTGAAAGTGTTTGCCAAATTTCCATGGTGCATTGTCAGATATTTCCACCAAAAAATTATGTTAATCTGTCTACTGCTGAGCTTTCAATGTGGGTTCTCTTTATTAACGTTTTCACATATGGTAGAATAATTATTATTTTATTATTATTATTATTATTAATTATTACTTACTACTACTACTACTATACTACTACTACTACTACTATATACTACTACACTACTACTACTACTACTTACTACTACTACTACTACTGCTACTGCTACTGCTACTGCTACTTCTACTGCTACTGCTACTACTACTACTA